GGTGCGGACATGATAACACACAAAATCTGGTCTATCACTACACCATAGATCGTCCTCCGCTACGCTCCGGACAATTACTCGTACACTTGCTATATTTCTATCGACAATCTCCATAGGTTGGGGAGTATATGTCTATAGATTCTTAGTCAATACATTTGGAGATCCATAGCTTTTTTAACTGTTTGACGAACAACCCGCGAGAAGTTCTACGTAATTTATCCGGACGATATACGTAAAAAAAGATTTTGAACAACATTAATTGCATGTAATTACTAAAGTGGGTTATTATAATAAAACTTTGCGTTATTCAATGCTCAGACTATCCAAGTGACATTTACCTATGCCATTAAAGTTTTTAACCTAATATTTTAGGTATTTGATATGACTAATTAACGTGGTAAAATACACTATATGCTAGAGATGCTGGTGAAATTACTTTCATCAAATTGTGAAATTATTTCATCACTCTGGTTTAATTTCACCATCTTTAGACTAGACACGTATTTTTGCACGCATAAAGAACACGCCCATTGTAATTAAAATTAATGAGGTTATTTAGCCTGACCATAATTACTTGTCAAGTGAATGATCCAGTTGGTCATTTTACTAAACTTTGAAAGCATTTCGATTTAATTAGATGCTTAGTTTAAATCATCTTTAGCATTTGCTAAGTTCATATCAAGACTTTTCAATCTCTGAAAAAATATATATATATTTATTAAATATTAATCTGGACAAAAGAAATCTTTATACAATCTATGAACAAATATTGACAAAAATCTTTTGTTATTTAAAATACAAAGGTCGTCTACGCATCTTGTTTAATGCATTTTCAAATAATTCACGACGAATAAATGAATAATCTTTTTTGGCAAATTTTTCGATCTGCAAGTCTGAATCCATAATGACAATTGTAGGTGTCGTAGGAGTTTTTACTTTTGGTGAATTTGCCAATGTAGGACTCGTAATTGTGTCATGGTTTTCTTGTATTGTTGGTGTGTTTAGTGTGGGTGGAGACAAAAGACCATTCCGAGTTGAAAATGTCGTCAGAAAACTAGGTGTATTTGGTGGAACTACTAAAGTTGATGGTGTAGTTGGTGATGCAACTAGTTTGTCCGGAGTGTTTGGAGTGTTCGGAGTTTTCGGTGTGTTCGGTGTGTTTGACGTGTTTGACGAGTTTGACATGCCTGGTGTGCTTGGTGTCTTTGGTGTGATCGGCACAGTTAATTTCTGTTCAACAAATCCAGATTCGTTCACGGACTTTAGATTTTCACACAAAGAACCATTTTGTACAATACAAGCTGAATTTGATATCGGCATCTGTTTAAATTTAACGCTCTTTGGGGTATGAGGAAGTGAACTGGGAATAGAACCTAATGGAATATTTGGTAGGGAACGAAAGTATGCAGACCCTAATGGAGTCGGCGGTTCCGCATGATCCAAAGACGCAGTCAAAGGTGTATTGGGAACGGAAAATGAAACATGACGAGGAGTTGGTGTAGTTGTGGAATTTATCCAATCCAAAATATTTGCCCGTTTGGTTGGAGATTCCATATCATCATCGAGTGACAATTCTTCCCACTCTTCATCTTCATTCATATCATTTAATGATTTTAATTGTTTTCCTCTAAAGAAAGAGATCAAAATTTCTTTTGCTGCATCTTCATTAACTGATTCTGCAAGTCTTTTTACAAAATTTCCGGGGATTACTCCCTCTACAAACAAATGATTAGACAAGATGCCAACACGTCTTTCTTCTACTGACAGTCCAAAATAGTAATATACCAAGATTTGATCCACAGCACCACGAAATGGTTCATAAAGATCCAATAAAGTAGTGAAGTTTAGCAATGAAAAGAAATCTTGATAGGTTCTAATCTTCGATGCCAGTGAAGAAGTTAAAACATCTTTTATGTCGGCAGAGGCATATAACCAGTCCAAAGATGCATCAACAATTTCTAAACCGCCATGTACCGGAGCTTCGATACAAAGCATTGGCAAACCATTAGCTTCTTCAATTGAATCAGAATTCAAAGAAGTATTCGAAGCCAGTTGAGCAAATTGAGTAGACAATTTATCAAAAAGAGCAGATTTCTGCATAAGATATTTGGACTGTTGGACGGTAATTTTATAATTCTTTTTTAAATGAGGTTTATCCGATGTTAAAACTTGCAACATAAAAAGAACTGTAGAAGGCAAGATTAATGATGGTGATAAAATTTGTGTCGTCTTTGACACGACTTCGAAAGGAAGAGCCCTGACATTAAGCGATGTAGTTCTGGTTGGCATTATTAATTATTAATTATTATTATTATTATTATTATTATTATTATTTATTATATTGTTTGCAAAAAAAAATGCAAAAGACGAAGAAAGATAATAAAGAGAGCAAAACAAAAGATCAACTTTTGTGTAAAGAGCGAAAGAATCTCACAGAGAATAAAGGTAAAGTGGGCAAATTTTGGATTACGGTATTTAATTAGTTTTGGGGGTATTTATCTTATTTTCTTTCCTTGTACTAGGATAAGAATATCGATATGCATAATTATATAAATAAGTATTCAAAATAAATGCACTTAAAGATGAGCCAATAATCATTCTAATTATTAACTTCAATGATAATTCTTCGTGATTAGAACAATTCTTTCCTTGTTATGCAATCTATTTTTGGAAATTGCTAATTAATTAATTTTATTTATTTTCTTTTTAAGGGTAATCAAAAAGAAAGTACGTATGCTACGATCGGTCTATGTGTAACATTATGTGTCGTATTAAGATTCACTCGAGTTACATTGTAAGTATCGCAAATTAGAAACTGTTTACGTACTTGAATGCATCATTTGAATATTCTTGATATTTTGGGATATTAAGTATACGAACGAATATTATTTGAACAACTGAAATTTAAAGTACATGCACATGTATATCCTTCATAGTCAAACAGATCATGCATCCAAGATGTTATAGTGCGAATTATAACAGTTTAACGTCTCGCCATAAAACAAATAAATCCGTATTTTTACTGCAGTTATTATTAGCTCTTTACTAATATATTAATAATTGTTTTTTCATCTGTATTTTATGTCTTAATTGCTCTATACTAGAACTAATTACAGTTTAAAATCCATATATATAATTAAAATAAAAGAATAAAACGCCACAAACAGGCCCGTAATTTGTTTCAAATGTGTACATAAATCTAAATGAATAACGTTCTTGATCAACATCTGGTGTCATAAGATTTAAATCTAGCTTCTACACTGTAACACGTTTCATATCTTCTTAACAAGGAGCAGGTTATGTTGTTTTTTTTTAGCATCTTGTATGTTTGATCAAATAATAATAGGCAATTACTAAATTTTCTGTTGCACTAATCCACTGAATTATATTCCAAATAAATTTTTATCCGACAAACACACATGGTCATGGCACAACAACGCATATTTATCCTAAGTGCCGCACAATAAATGCATAGCTGCCGCACAAAAAATTTGGCCTGCGTTAAAATAGTTTAGGCCGATGGTTTTTAAAATGGATCAAATATAGTATATAGTGTACGTACTTGATCTAAGGATATTACCTGCTTAGATGTTCAAATCTGCTGATTGAGATTTGCACATTATTACGTAGCATGATTACTTTTTGATGTGACTAATTGGACTTATTCATAATGCTTTTACGAACATACTTTATTAATGGTATATAGTCTGTAATTTAGCTCAATACTATTACCATTTTAGCTCCGTTTATGAAACCGTTTTGCTTAAAACTGGTTTGAACAATTATTTGTTTCGATTATAATTTTTTTTTTAATTTTCTGATGCTATTCAAATTTATTGTTAATACCTTTTCAAATAAAATTACTTATTTTAAAAATTAATCTACTCATTTTTTAACAAGAATTTGAAAGGCTATTTTATGTTATACGAAGCAGAATAACATCCCTAATTTGATCCTTTTAAAATT